ATTAAGCCTAGGTGATTCCTCAGGCTGCAAATGGGAAGAAACAGCAAACTCTGGATTCAGGAAAAAACGTTCAAAGTCCTTCTCATTCTGAACAAGACTAAGGAGGAGCCTGGGCAATGTCTGGGGACAAAGGCTGACCAATGTGGTGCTCAATCTCCCAACGTATTAAAACAGAGAGGTCCACCATTGGGTTGCTTGCCCCTATGGCATCACAAAAAACATTCGCTGGTGTGATCCCCAAAGTGGTAACATGAAGTTCAGAATTCATAGAACAAGAAAAGTTTCACAAAATTAGTGTGGAGGAACATAGCAACAAGAATGAACTGGTATAAGAGAAAATAAAGTAAAAAAGAACCACTTCACATGAAAAAAAATTGTTTATCACACTGGAAGCACTAGGCACACAAAAGAATACGTCTGAACCTTATCGCCACTGGTATTCTTTACTGTGCATGACACAAGCTTTTAGTGTCTTACATTCAAAATTATATTAAACTACTTTTTGTTTATGCTATACCAATTAGTATAGCATAAAATCTTAGCTAATAATCCATATTTTAATAGTATACAAGTTTTAAGTTCTTAATTTTACAAAGCAATATTTAAAAAAAATCCTGAATTTCCAATAGTGTGACACATGACACATTTTTTCTAGGGAATTTGTCTCCTCCATTTTATCCACCACCCCTTGGAAAAGTACGAAATTAAACGCAAATTATTCACTATCAAATCGTCATTGCTTCGACAAACTATATTTTTTATAGTTTTCAATTTTGTTTGGTTACAGAGCTATTGAATAGAAATCAGACCTCTCCTGCCACACCTACCGGTCACATTCTCTCTTTCAGGATTTGTTAATGGGTCTCGCTTACATTTAATTATATATTACCTATAATTAATACAAAGTAAAGGTTTTCATCTATCAAATGATGTCTTGTATTACATTATGTTTTGAATGGCTAAATGTCAATTTCACTCAGAGTACCAAGATCATTCCCATGAGAAAGTTAACGACTAACTTGGATGAATTTTTAACAACTCTTGTCTCATAGTTAGAAAGCCAGAAAAAGTTTGAGAGGTAAGAAAATGTGTCTACTTTTCGCATGTTATTAGTCTATGTATTTTGATGCATTATTTAATTAAATGAAAAATATTAAATGCATTACTATCATTAGTATACAATAATTAGGGTTAACTCTCTTCAACAATCAACAGCAAGAAAAAATAAGTATTTTATTTCTTGTTTTTCATGTTTATTTTTTATATATAATTATAAAAGTAACTAAAATGTAAAAATAGGGATTCTTTTAGGTTAGTTAAGATTAGATTAGGTAAAATGAATAATAATAATAATATTATAATTAAAATGGTTCGCGAGGTACACATTGGAGCAGCACGTGGGTAATGTAATTCATTAGCATAACGTGAGCTGCACAATCCTCGAGTGATTTACAACTTATAATGGCATGGATAGTAGTTAGATACAGTTCAAAGGCCAATGAAATTGCAATAAATCAATAAAATTTAATTATCAATAGATGTATACTGTTATGAACTTAGACCTACTTAGGATAAACAATTGTAGTTTCATGTTATAATTTGAAGCCATTCTAGAAAGAAAAAAAAAGGGTACTTTAGATTTACTTTTATTTTTATTTTTTTTGGTGTTTACGAGGTCAGTTGAATTGACTGATTCCATTTTAAGATAGGTTAGAGAAAATAACATATAAATTATAAGGTTTCACCAAAAGAAAAAAATGTTTGAAGTGCATTCAGGAGATTTTAGACGCAAAGGAAATTTGAGATTTTTGAAATGAGAAGAGTATTTTTAATTTTAACATGAAAATTACTATTAAATCAATAAAGACTTTAAATGAGTACAAAGAGGTCACATGGTCAGTCACATTGACGGAGTCTGTGTTGAGAGAGTTAACTCAAATGCTGCCAAACAAGAATTGAAGGTTTGGTAGAGAAGTGTAGAGTGAATCATGTGTCATGTGAGCAATATCATGCTACTATTGACACATGATGATTTACATGAGAGACATGTTGGAGTATAGTAATTCCAACAGGGGGGACTGGAAGGCTTGTGGCATGCATAAAGAAAACTTTTGCATATAGAGGGCAACACTGAACGAGAATAGCTAGGAGGTAAGTATCGTAACAGAATATTGATTTATTTAAACTTTTATTCACTGTAGAAACTATAAGTATAATTGTGATGGAATCAAACCAGTTTGCAAAACACAGATGCCAGCAAGAAGATGGGCCATCAAAAAACATCTTCTCTAGGGACAGGTTTTTAACTATCCACACTTACTTACATTTCAATAACAATACTAATTGTCTTCCTAGAACTGACCCTAATTATAATAAACTTTTAAGGTTAAACCTATCATAGACCGTCTACTAAACTCTTTTGTTTCCCACTACTCTCCTAACAGAGAACTAACTACAGATGAACAGATGCTGTTTCCTTCAATATTTACCAAAGAAACCTCACAAGTGGGGAATCAAGTTGTGGGTCCTGGCAGAAGCTATGAGTGGATACTGTCTGAAATTTAAAGTCTACACAGGTATAAAGGAACAAATGCCAGCTAAAGGTTTAGCAGACAACGTTGTGATGAAACTGATGGACAAGTACAACAGACTAGTACACTGGGTTTTCATGAACAACTTTTATTCTTACCCTCACTTACTTGACAAACTACTGACTGTGGGAACCTATGCTTGTGGAACATGCAGGAAAGACTGACTGTATTTCCCACAGCAACTGGTTTCTAATGTGGAATTCTGACAGCTGTGAAGTGGACTGACAAATGAGACATTTATGCACTTTCAACTTTACACTCTAATACTATGACAACTGTGACAACAAAAGGGCAGGATGCTGAGGTTACAAAACCTCAGTCAATTGTGCCTACAACATGTTTATAGGATGGGTGGACCTGAATGACCAACACTTAAATTACTATTCTACTGGATGAAGGACAATAAAATGATATAAAACTGTTTTTTCAACTTTTGGACTTCACAGTTGTAAATGCTTACATTTTGTACAAACGACAAACCAATCAGCCAGCATTATCCCAGGTCTTCAGAATTGACATGGTCACAGCTCTTATTGAGCTTCTACTTCAAAGCAGACCAGGTCCTTCTAGTATGTCACTTTCAAGAACTGTGCAGGACTCATCATCTCTGAGACTTACTCTTGGAAGAGATGCAGACTGTGCCTCCCAGAAAATAATGCAACAATCAAATGTAAACTGTATAATGAATTTATTTGTATTAAACATTTTGAAGAGTATCATATTAGTGTTACTCTTCAAAAAAGTTAATTCTTTATCTATGTCTGCTCTCTTCCTTTGTTTACCTTTTCTTTTTCTCTAAATATTTTAATATTTTGATTGAAATATTTTTTAAAGTTTTCTTTTATTATTCATACAGCAGTGATGCTCCCTTTTATGTGTCAAAATCAGTTTACAATGTCTAAACTGTTTGTAGTAAAATACCAATGTAATCTTGCATTCAATGATACAGTTTTTCCTGTATATAACATTAGGTATGTTTATTTTTCCCATTCTTGATCCTTTCATTCTGGTTGTTCCTTTTATCATGTGTCAACATTTGTATACATTTTATGTTAGAATGTGTATAACTTGATATTAATTCATGCAATTTGTATGTGCATTGTTCATTTTAAAGATGTATATCATTTTTGCATAACTTTATTCTGCAGATGTGTAGAGTGTTGTATCTTTCTAAAATGTTATGAATAAACTTTTTTTTTTTAGAATTTGTAGCTTCTAGTGTTGCATAATTTGCTTTTATTTTACCTCAGTTTAGACAACTAGAAGAATGATACAAGTTCAGCAGGCATAACTATATGGGCCTACAAAATCAAAGTACAAATCTCTAACAACAATACCAGTATTTTGCTAAATATGGGGAAATTTCGGTTACCATACGTAATATGTACTTCTATATATTGTTATTATTTATTCACAAAAGCTTAAATTTTAGTTACTTTTCTTAAAACCTACAAGAATAAGAAAAAATATACAGATTTCGAGTATTTACTTTGGGTATGAGACTTTGTGCTCGAGTGTCGCATGTGCTAAGCCTCGTTTATTCTTCCAAATGGAGGGTGTAGAGGTATTAATTTTTTTTACACTTCAAATATACATATATAAAAAATAGAAATATATCAACTTACTATATTAGTGCACAAAAAACACCTGTAATTTATTTTGGTGGCTAAACAAGCTTTATATGAGTTTTTAAAAATCCCGTTTCTCTTAAGAGCAACAACTTTCAAGCTGTTTACCAATGGCTATAAGATTTACAAACACATGTAACTACTCTTTCTATTGGTTATAAACTCTTACAAAAATAAAAGTAGGAGGGACTACACAAGAGGTTTAGAAAAAATGGAGTAGCAGGAGGAGCCAAACTACTAGATTGGCTAAATATACTTATATCTCAGAAAATCAAAGAGGTAGGTAGTTCTTATTTTTAATTATAACTAGTCAACATCCTCAATTTGAATTTCTATTTCTTTAACTACTGCACACATTGTGTGGTCGGCGTAATTAATTATAAACGGAACAATAACAAAACAGGAAGTGTTATGTGACATACAAAAAATAATATTTTTTCTTTATATTTCCTTTTAAATTAAGAAATTACAACATATATAATATTAACATTTGAAAAATAACCTTCGTTTTGATGTGAATCCCTTTGACATAAATACTAGCAAAGCTATTGAATAAAATTTTTAAAATAGCTCTCGAAAATGTCATGACATGTGCCCTTTGACCTGCCCGTAGCAAAAGGGTTGAGATAATTAATGGCCTAATACCTATCCCTACCATATTTACATATTAACAAATGAATTTTTCCAAAACTACTATTGCTTATAATCCAACATGTTTAGTCAATGGCCTTACATAATCTTACCACATCTACACATGCACAAAGAATGTTTCCAAACTTACCATGACAAATAATCCCATAAGGTTTATCAATGGCTACAATGTCACCTGTAAAAGTTATATATACATATTATACATCAAATGTTTTAACAAACATTCCAAAGACATATTCCTGCAGTCAAAAATACTTTACTTTCAAATTGGCCATAGTCAAATGATTAGATTGTTAACAGATGCTTGTATCATATATATATACGTACAGAATTCTACAGATATAAAACAATATAGATAACAACATGTCAGTGCGGGTAGTAAATTATTACTCAAAAATTTTTCTGAAACAATAATAAAGTAAAATTGTACAAGTACACTTTAGCAATAGTAACATTAACTTTCCATAATCCTGAAACATAATTGGCTTGTGCATCTTACATATTTAACCAAAGTAAACCCCATTTTATTTATCACATTCCTCTAATAAACTGTACTAAACAAATGTCTTTTGATCCTTACTAGAATTACTTTTAATGCTCCACAGAATGACCCCTCTCATCAATATCAGCACCATCCCAGAGGGGATTGTATCAATAAAAGTCCTCCAACAGGACAGAGGGAGACAGCAACTGTTCTATATAAACATCAATATCTGATCGATCGTCTCACCTGGAGACAGGTACACAGAACACATATTTATGGTATGATACATGAAGATACAAGGGTGTATTGAGTGGCATAGACACGGTGGGTATATGCTGGTCAACTAGCAGTGCCACACCTCCATGAACTTGCACATCACACAACCTGTCATTCCGCTACAAAGAAAACTCTTGAAAGGTGACAGCATCAGCAGGTCTGAGAAATGTTTCCTGTAAGGAGAAACACACGGGATGATAGAATGAAAACCTCAACAGTTCCACTGTATCAGAGTGGCCATTTTTATTTAGGAGGAGGAAAACTGGACAGAGCACCCTTTTGTTTGTGACCATAACATTTTTCTTTAGTAGAAATAGGTCTATCAACCTCCATAAAACCTGCCCTAGGACAGCTGAGCAGATCTTTATTGGAAGGAGACTCCAGTGATTAAGGTGTAGAATCATTTGTGGGTGCAAAAGACTTTTGACGTGGTGAGAGAAAGACTCTGTTTGACAAACAGAAAGATCTGTCTGCGCTCCCACAGTAGCAGTGGATCAGAATGGAGCAGCACATGTCTGAGCTGGAACTGGAGAGAACAACTTCTGGGCCTTCAAATAAGAGATATTGTTTACAGTATGTAAACATTGTACCTCTTTTTTCGTCCACCCACCTAAGGCAAGAATGAAAGTATGAGGGGTGGGGGAACCACCACAAATGACACAGTGAGGCCCAGTCGACACTAGTAGGCTTCATGATCTTTGCCACCACAATGAGTGCATGTCAGAGAACTTCGACAAGATGCCTTACAATGTCCAAACTGCTGACACTGAAAATACCTGAAAGGGTTAGGAATATAAGGCTGTACTTTACAGTTCAAATAACCTGCCTTGACAGTGGCAGGCAGTCATGGCGATGTAAAAGTCAATACAAGAACATTGGTAGGCAGCATAATTTCATCTTTACGAGTGGGGATACATTGCACAGCAGGAACTCCTTGGCTGGAGAAACAACTAGGAAGGATCTCCAACTTGGGAATGTTTCTTTAAGCCCTCTCAATGATAGCTCCTCATGAAGAATTCAAAGTAGCATGGGGATTAACCTCAATGGGTATATCCCCAATGGCCTTTGATTTTAGGAGGAGTTCACAGTGTTTAGATGTAAATGTTTCCATCAAGATGTCCCCAGAATGTAGCTTCTTAACTTACTTCAGATAGCCAGCAAGCCCCTTTAATCCCTTCTGCATGAAAAAGGGGAGACATTTGCCCTAAAGGTTTGTCAGACAAATAATGCAGAATACAAAAATGAGGTACAGGAACATAATGGGGTGGTGAATGCTCTTCAGTCTTCCAAATATGGCCACTTTCCAATAAATGAGTTTTTAAATATTTCTTTGGGTCACTGGGTGCAGGATGCATAAAATGGAGAAAATTCAATGACCACTGACCCCAACCACCATGGAGCCCTATGAGAAGAAGCACTACAAAGCCATACATGGACAATGTAGCTACACCAGGGTTTTATGGGCACTATACCAAAACAACAGCATTAGATAGAATGTCCACAACACCTGTTAAGAACGTACAACTCTGACACTTAGTTGACCCTACTCCAGCAGGACCAGCCGAATGACCCAGGGAGAGCCACACCAAGGCCATTGTCTGCAGGAATTCAAGGCCAAAGTGATGTGTTAAAGTGCCACTGACATAAACTAACCCATCAATGACACCCCTCAACCACCAGGATCCTCTCTTCCCCTTCACAGAATGCCATGTGTAGCAAACATGTGGGTGGACGTTTGGTTTGTTTGTTTGTTTTGAATTTCGCGCAAAGCTACACGAGGGCTATCTGCACTAGCCGTTCCTAATTTAGCAGTGTAAGAATAGAGGGAAGGCAGCTAGTCATCACCACCCACTGCCAACTCTTGGGCTACTCTTTTACCAACGAATAGTGGGATTCAACATCACATTATAACGCCCCCACGGCTGAAAGGGCGAGCATGTTTGGTGGAACGGGGATTCGAACCCGCAGACTGTGAGTCGAGCGCCCTAACCACCTGCCCATGCCGGACCTGGACGTTTGGAGCCCAGAGGAAGTAAACTGAAGATACCAAACCTTCTCATGGAGGTCTCCTCACCATGTACAGGAATCCACCTTGAGGGGTGTTGTAATTTATAGGACTGTGTGAGTACTTTATATTTAAAGCTAAAGCCGAGCTTTAGGCTCAGCTTGAGCTCAAATACAAAAATGTACTTTAATGCACTAGATTGCAAAAAACAAAAAAATGTTGTGAACTTTTTATTACCCAGTTTAAAAATCTAAGCTCAAAATAGGGAAGGAAGTTTTCTGAAAAAATAACATCAAATCAATTTCACGTCATAAAAAATACTAAGATTAATATTTTTAGTGGGCAGCTTCCTCCATTCATTCTATATCAACCTCTAGGTTGTTGATTTACAGGCTGTTTGTACAAAGTTCTACTTTTCTGAAACAACATAGGGATTTTATATAATATCTAAAGTGTAACAATGTGAATTTAGTAAGAGTAATATAAAATCATGGTGTTAACATTAAGATTTTTTTTCACCTGATGCATTTGTAGGGTAAAATGCAGTGTTCACTATGTGATTTGTGTTAACAAGATGTCCACACAGGAAATGCTGTTACCACCTATGTTCACTCTATGGGGGTTGTTTATCACCCTTCTAATGTTAGACACCCCACTGTGTACATAGTATGATTCCTGCTTAAATCACTTCAAAAATTAAAGGTTATAAAATTATGTTTTGACTGAGGAATGACATTATAATGAGTAATTTATGTTCAATTTCATATGTTCTGGAGGGGTTGCAAATAAACAATAAATAAAAAAGATGAGGGGATGCCTTGAGGGCAAATGTTACAATTCTCATACTAAGGAAAATTCAGGATTATTTTATTCATTATTGCCTTATAAAATTAAAAACTTAAAACTTATATAAATAATAAAATCTGGATTATTAGCTACATTTTTATGCCATGTTTATTTGTTTACCATGATAAGAAACTAGTTTAATTAAATTTTGAATGTTAACTTTATAAAACCTTGTGACATGCACAGAAAAAGATACCAGTAGCAAAAGTGTTAATGTGCCTTCTCCTGATAATGAAAAAGAGGAAACTGTTTTTACCAAAATGCTGAAGAAACTCTGCAGGCAGTGAAGTCAGAAGAATATCTAATGGTAATGATGGTGGCTTAAATGCAAAGGTAGATGAAGGCAAGATCAGTGCTCTAGGTGGAATACACAGTCTTAGAGAGTGGAATGAAAGAGGATATAAACTAGATCACTTCTGTGAAGAAAGATTTAGTGATAAATGTTTATATACTTTTAACTTTACATAGAAGCGAAAACAAATTGAGAAATCTGATAGAGTATATCTTAGTTAAATAAAATTTAAGTAACTATTACAATAGGTAGAAGTTATTTAAGAGTAGACTGTCTCTCTGATCACAACCTAATGATTGGACAATTTTGATATAACGTCATAGCTAAGGACTTTGTGATAGAAAATAAAAACCGATTTGAAATATCAATAAAAGAAGAGTTTTCAAACAAGGTTGCTGAGGACCAATAAATTAAGTTCGTAGAGGAGAGAAGTTAGTGGTGAAAAGAAGGGTAAACAAATTTGGACAAATGATGAACTTCTAAAAAAAGATGGACAAAAGAAGACAATTATCAAGACAGAGATGAAATATAGAAGATTAGATAAATCGGGTGTTTATGTAGACAAGCAAAGAATGTTTTTGTAAACAAGAAATGTGCAGAAATTGATTAATCCAGAAACATCACATATATATATAAAATATGCACAGAAGAATAAAAGAGTTGAATAGGAAATCTTCCTGTCTTCCAATGTAGTCAGCTAAAGTAAGAAAGACTAGATATTTTTTTGAAACTGAAAATGTTAAAAGATAGGTGGGCAGAGTATTTGTGAGAACTGGAAGGTGGTAATGAAGTCTATGGGTGAGTACGGTCTAGAACGGGCATATCAATGAAGCAAATATATTGTGAGAAAAATCTACCTAAGATATATATATATATACAAATATATGCATATATGTATCCACATGCCCAATTGAAGAATTTCATACAAGGACTGATACAGATGAGACACCAGGGAAAAGTTAAGGTGCCGGATCTGATGAGAAGACAGCTGGAACAAATTACAGGAAGAAGAAAAGGAAGAATAAACCAATCAAATTAAAAGACTAACCCAACTGGTCAGGGTGGAAAGAGAAAGGTCACAAACAGAGGATATCTGTAAAGGAATGAATAGGCATGAACAGACACCACAGAAGGAAGTCATGCAGGCAACATAACAACAAAGAGCATATATGAGACATAGTAGCCTATCCAGATCCAACCAAGGCTGCAGGTGGTAAATGGAAGGAAGGGAAATCATTGAGATGGAGGAATTACCCTTACGAGCCGCTGAAGTTTTGGGAATGAAACGTTGATGGCAAATAAATCTGACCAACAAAGTCCACAGACCAACAGAAGAAGGAAGTAAGTCTCAAAGGAGAAATGAAACATCAAGCATAAGGACATATGTTAAAAAGGTGGCAAAGTAATGCAGTGAAGAACCACATTGACATCCCAATCTGGAAGGACTGCAGGCCAAATTGGATGATGAATCTGGAATAAATGCAACAATAAGGAAAGGGTAGGAGAGGTAAAAAATGTGTGGGATGAGGCAGCCTGATAACCCACGATCGAGGAGACAGAAGACTCCAGATCAAACAACCAAGCGAGGAAATCCATAAGATGAGAAGCAGAAGTTTGAGCAGGCCAGATAAAAGATCAGTGACCAAGGTTGACGTAGAAGGGATTGAGTAAGAGGAAGAAATAATGGAGGGACAGATTGTAGCTGGAGCAGCCCCAGAAATCACAACTGTGCCAAAAAATGAAAAAATGATGAAAAAAATGATCCAAAGCACAACGTATGGTCAGAATCTACAGAATGTTGATATGGTAAAATCTTTTGGGCAGAGACCACCGACCTGAAGCTTAATACTGATCAACCCATGCCCCCCCACCCATGGAGGGAAACATCCATGAGGATATGCAAATCTGGACAAGGGGAGGAAGAAGAATACCTACCAATGTGTGGGCCTTGTCCAACAACCAATGCAGATCATCAACAAGGAGAGGAGGAACGGAAATAGGGCTCCCATGCAAGGTTCCGTTAGTAGTGCAGAGTCCACTGAAGAGACCGCATATGTGCTCAACCCACGTAAAAAAAAAGAGTTTCCATAAAATACCACATCCCCAAAAGCAATAGCACCTCATGAGCAGTCATAGAGGGAGCAGAAAGGGCATGGATAACTGAAAGCACCATTGAATGGAGTCAGAGAGGAGAAGCTTAGGCCTGACTAAGATTAGTGTTGAAAAAGACATCCAAGTGAACAAGATATTGTGTAGGTATAAGAAATAACTTCCCAAATTGATTAACCAACCAACAAAAGATATACGGGGCTGAAGCAACCCAGAAGATAGTGCCTTGACAGACAAGAAACTAGAACATGCAGGTAAGCATTCGCAACATCTACCTTGGTCATCCACAAACCTGGAGAATAAGCCCACCTGACGGTGAGAAAAGACTTCATAGTAAATCAGGGTAGAATCAAAAATTGATTGAGGCGGGTCAAATTGATCACATGCCACCAGTCCCCAGTTTTCTTAGGTAACATAAACTGTACCAGAATCCACCGGGTAGTCACCAATACTGTTGGTGATGTGTTCATCTGCATCCAATAATGCGATGAGAGGTGGAACCCATGGAGATAAGAATAGGTAAAGGCTGGGAAGGAGCAGGATGGGAAACAGTAATACAGGGTTGTCTAGGCTCTGAATGAGACAAATGATCCACCAAAGAAGAAAGCATCATTTGTTGTCTCACCTATTCCACACGGGATTCCAAAGTCTCAGAAATATTACATAAATCATACATATATAAAAAAGGGGCTAGGCGTAAGTCCCAAAGATATGGTGGTAGTAAACAAACCTGGGACAAATCAGCATCCCTCCTCAGGAGATCCTAACAACAGAGAAACCACTTGTGTAAGAAACTATCCATCGAAAAACCCTCAGGCTCTTGGTGGATCGTCTCAGAAAGGAGGTGGATGGTAGACAAATACCATAGAAGAGTTGATAGGATAAGACAAAGGCAGGAAAATTGGGCATAGGATACAAACAGGATGATCAAGGCCTGCTCCCCCCCCCCACACACACACACATGGGCAAAATTGATCCCAACTGTTGTTAATCAAGATACAGACATCCAGCCTAATGGTAGGCCAAAGCAAACTGATCCGAAGCCCATGGAAGGCTAGGCATACTAGCACCATCAACCATCTGAGAAACAAAAATGCTCTGCATGAACCCTAATATCCAGGGAAGGGGGAAACCAAATACTGACAGGAGGGAGTATCATGTAGCAAAGAAGGAAAGGGATCACATGAAATTGGGGAAATGGATAAAATAGAACATACCTGAGAAATCATGTTTAAAAAAAACCATATTAGGCCTAGCTGATTCTGCAGTAGGAGCATAGGAAGACACGGCAAAATCAGGTGGAAGAAAAAGGCTTTCAAAATTCTCATCGACTCAAACAGGTTTGGCATGTTCAGGAAGAATAGGGATAACATCAGGAGAAGCAGGTTGACTCCTATGATGATCAATCTCACAGCAGAGTCAATAAGTCCAGAGACGAGTTACCCCACCTGTAGCCTGTGCGATTGTACTGATAGAAAGCATCACCTCCGAAGTTGTAATTTGTACTTCATTGTCTAATAATGGGTAATGAAACATAACTGTTTGATGAAAAAAAAAATTGAAAACTGGGAGAAAACAAAATGTCGGAAAATTTCTGAAACTTTTTGAAAAAAAAGAAATAACGAATCCACTTCGGAATTAATATAGAAAAATCACAATAAGCTGAACAAAAACACAATTGAAGAACACAAAAAAACCCATCTTAGCATAAGTACTGCCAAATGAGAAGTGATACTTTGGTAGAATAGAATAGAGGGAACCACATATGTCAGGAGAGTGTGTTGCACTCCTACTGATGATTTACACATAAAATGCAGTTGAACAATTTGATTGTAAGTAAATGAGAGCTAAAAGCATGTGGCATGCAAAAAATGCTTCTGCATATACAGGGCAGCACTGAATGAGAATAACTATTTATGTAAGCAGAGGTAACGTACTATATCGGAAATATATTTTTATCCAAGTGTGCAAAGACATATTGTTCAATTAATTTTATGCCCTACTTCACAGAATCATCCGTGAAACAAATAGTATTTTAACCATTAAAAATAAAACAAAGGAAAAACAGCATAATGTAAATATACTTACTGTCATTATACAATATTTTTTTTTTCAAAATCTGTAAAACAGCATCTCGAGGCATTTCCTTCCAGTTAGGAATTTGGTCTTTCAAGATATATAAACCTTTGCTATTAAGCCTCTCATCATATATTTCTGTTTTCTTCCCATTTTTATCCTCTAAAATGTAACAAAATTATGTAAATGAAAATCTCTGGCCTCAAGTCACTAAAATTCTAGTTTTAAATCAAAATATTAAATACTAAAATTATCCTAAAGCAAATTGAATATTTGATCAAAAACATTAGCACTATAATACAATATTAATATACATGGATATTACAAAACAACTGCACTCAAATTAAAATTTTATCATGCAAAGCTGTTTGATTATTTCACATTGTAAAATAAGATATTTTCACTCAAATTAAATGTTGAAAGAGTAATGTTGCTAAATTATTTCACTAGATTAATTCTGTCTATATCCCAGACCATCATTATGGTTATGATCTGGAGAACAGTTTGAAAACATAATAAACATAATTTAAAGGTACAAAATACCTACAAATATATATATACTTATGAAAAGTATAAAATAAAGCTTTATGAATTAAACCATCAAGTCTTTATTCCATTTGTTAATGTTCTTATGGACAGATCTAGCCTAACTGCAAGGACAGTCTCAACCTTGCTACCTTAATTTTTTTACCAACAAATAAAAAAATAATCTCACCAGTCATCACTAAGACAACTGAAAGACACTTGAACAAATAATCAGAAGTCTATTAAAGAAAGTAACAGGGACATCTCTTAAAATATTAAATCTCCAAAAAATGTTTGGATTGATGTACCTATGTTACACAACCAAAATGTGGAAATCAGAAGGATATTGAGGGATTATTAGAGCAATTTATACTACAGTCATTTCAAATCATAGTGCTCCAAAATAAAGACATGTAGAAATACCAGCACCATTAAAATCTGATGTTTTTTATACAACAAAGCAATACATGTACTATGTATTTTACATTCTATAAGTAAATCACTGGTTTCGACAAAATTATGATTTATGTGAAGACAATGACATAATATGCCACCTTGATTATGCAATTTTTACAATTATTGAAAAAATACAAAATAATAAACTGCCAAAGTTTATTTTAAATACACTTGTTCTTTGTTTATGACCCTAAATAGTTTTTGCACTTACCTTTATTCATTGATAATGCATGCTAATGATAAAGTGTCCTTTATATTAAAAGTAACTGAACCCACTATCCCGATGTCTTGATAACCTGAAAGAACTTCATTACATATCTCATTCAACCCTCGAGCTTACAACAGACATACCTGTCTTAAAAATTAATTCAGAAGTTGCACACTGTTGAGATGACTGAAGACAAGCTATTATTTAGTTATAATGATCAGTCTCTTTTCATTAAAGTTCTAGTTCAAGATACCATCACAGTTATCCATATTAGGATAGAAAGTAATAAAACTTTAGAAACACAAATATACATCTAATAGTTTAATAAAAAAATCTTCTGCCTATTTCCTTCATGATTTTCATGAAAATGAAAGTTATACACTTTAAATGAAACAGTAACAAACTCTCCACTTACTCCCATTGTATTCTCAATATATATGGAAGATCTAAAAGAAACAGCAATTAGTACAAGTTTTTTAAAATCTAACTCAATGGTTACAATATGCAGATGAATCTTCAAGGTCTGAAAACAATTCCAATCCTTTAGAATACTTTTTGAACAGTTATGAAACCAGCATCTATCTATGCAATTCTCAATTGAAATGAAAAAGTATAATCAGTTATTGCTTCTTGATCGTATAGTTATAAAGGGTATAAGAAAACCAGTTACAAGAAATATACAAAACAAGAAAAATTGTGCATCAGTATTTCAACTATGACTACTAAGTTATGAAGTATTAAGTCTCGTGTTATGAGCTTTCCATGTCTGTGATTCAAAGCAAATGGATATAGAATTATGTTAAATTTCCCTATGTTTAAAACAGAGTTATTACATAACTTTGCCTTCATAAACCATTACGAGTAGCTAAGAAAGACTGCTAAATATTCATAATTTAAATCAAGAGAGCAATACAAGAAATGTAGTAGAACATTTGCTACCATACTGCTATCTCTTCAGTACTTGGATCTAAACTACAGTGGTGACCACAAGATAATTTCACAAACACTAGGGAGAATGATGAGTACAACACAGATAGGCAACATAACAACTGTCATGTAGAGGCCTGCAACCTACTTGTATTATGATGTAAATACCTAGTAGATATAATGTAGGTATCACTTCCACATATGAAAACACAAGTCTTGTCTAAAGTTTATACAGTACATATATGGACTATGTATGTATAAAATCTAAATATTATCATTACCACTCAAGTGTTTTGCAGAAAAGACAAATGCAGTTAGATATTAAAGCCAGTGTGAACAGAATCTTTACATATCTTGTTAATGTGAAATAATGTTTACTAGATTACAAGCACCTGTGATTCCATAACTATGAAAGCTTAAAAATTCTCATAAAGATTTCATATAGAAACAAACATAACTATACATGTAAGTTGTTTCTGACAATTTTTTTTTGCTTACCGGTATGTAATTATGTATATTTTGAGAAATAACATCTCAGTTTCTATACTATAAAAACTAATGTTTCATTTTTGGAGTTTATAAAACTCAGTAGCATAAGAAGAGCTGGGGAATTAGCAGTATTTTTTCCAATTTGATGATACAACTGATTACCTATAAGCAATGATTGCAGCAATTAGCATCTAATGAACTAACTGGTTAATCAAAATGACTAATTGTTTAATGTCAAGAAAATGGTCAATTAATTGAAGTTACTGTTTTTGACTATTTCAACAAATGATTACTCCAAGTTATGATTACATCAATTGTCACAAAAATAACCAAGTAATCAAAATTATTTGTCTCAATTATCCCATTACTATAGTTAGAGATACAGTTTAAATTATACTTGGGTCTTACTATTACATTTTAATTATGTATTAATTATGTTTTAAAATGTGTAATTAAAAAGTTTAAACATTTTTTACCCATAGATCATATTTTGCATCCATTTTCCTAATGTTTGCGATATTACCCGCTGAACGAACATTTTGCCAAAGGGTTGCACGTCTCCCAAATAAACTCTAATATTTCTCAAGGGCACCATTGACTTATGTAGTGATGAATAATAAGTTGTAAAAGACAAGAAAAATAAAACTTTTAAAACTAACTATACGTGAAAAGGAAAAGACCTGAAATTACAAATTTAACAAAAAGAAACTCTTTAAAGATATTCTGCAAAAAAATTAAAAGGTATGTATTTTTTTTCTTTCTACTTCCTCATCTTAATTATTCTGTTGCATTGTACATTGATGATAACAACTAGAGTTAGTGATATGGCAGAGAAAATGAAAAATAAAATATAAACATTTACCTTAAAAAAACTTTTGATATCTTTTTCAGAAGTTCCAGACATTATGTAAATGAAATATGAAAACTATACGATGAAGAAAAGTATTTTTATACTTAAAATGAAAATCACCTTGCACTCAATTGGTTATTAGTTTGAGTGCAAGTAACTACAATAAAAAATAAAATATTTTTAGTAAAAACACTTAATGATAATACCATCATTATTTGTATACATGATGCTTATAATCTTTAACAAAATCTTGCCAATTTTTGAGAGAAAAATGTTAAAACATCTCAGAGTTACTGCATGTATTGTTGTACCAGTGAAATTTGTAACTCAATTTTCACAAATTGCATGAGTATGGGATGAAAGGGTTAAGTAACTATATACTTTTCTTTTCTGAATTATTCCCCAAAATTAATACAGATTACTAAACTTTAATACTATATATACTTTATATGCACATCACATTTACAACATAAAGAACTAGTAACCTTCTTGTAGATAATTTTATTGGTAAAATTCTCTGGAAAATTATCAGATATTTTTTCCCTTTTCCATGACTTTTTTAAAACAATAGTATTTTTGTTTACATTTGTCCAACAGATTAGTTTTAATTTATAATTACTGCAAAAGAAATGTGAAATGCAGCATAAATTGTTAGCATACACAATACACAAATGTTATGTTAATGAGCACTTGTTACATAACACTGCACAGGGAATATGGCCAATACTTTCACAAAGAACCACCACCATGACATGTTATATGGCTTCACACTCCAAGCACTCACTTCAGCAACACAAGATTAACAGAAACTACTGTTTAGCTACATGGATTTTTTTTTATTCTCAATCCACACCACACACCAAACTGAGTCTTATTCATTAAAACACTCAATACATAAAAGTTAGCAAAGACACAAACTACCCAAATAGAAAACAAGAATTCCAGTTTTGCTTCCTCCTCCCCTTTTATCTACCCATAATCATGAGGTTTCATTTATATCACTTTCATGTTTATGGGTGTCCAATAGGACACATAGTTCACACACTGATAACATGCATAAAGTTTAGGGGGAGGAGGAATTGTTATAAGAGATGGTGAAAAACTGGTAATTATGTGCACACAAGTAAGGAAAATTACATGGATGTTACCCCGTCATTATTCATTAAATGATGTCTTCCTGAAAAATAAAGGGTGGGTTTAAATTTTTACTTTCCTCAAGGGTAGCCTTGAAGGACCAAATGGTGCCTTGTTGTCCATAGGTCATGCTTAAAAAATAGGAATAACATAAGCAACTAACAGCTTTTCAATCCTTAGGCACCTGTTCACTCTCTAGTGACCTATCAAAATGAAAGAAAGAGGTATACATATCTGACCTTTGACCTTTAAAACTCTGGGAAAAACCTTTTCTGTTCTTATTACTTCATCTATCTGTTACCTCACAATTTAATATAAACATGATACACGTCAATTCTCATATTTCCAATAGTCAGGAATATTGTCAATATCTATATTTCCTTGAGAAAATATAAGAGAATATTTAAGAGCCAAGTCAACAAAGACCTTGCCATAAGATCTAAGAACCCAATCCCCATTTTAACCTTTTGCCTAAAGCCATTGATCAGAGGGGAAAAAATCAAATAGAAGCAGTAGCTGTCTAAATGACTACTGTTATTCAAGTAATGGAACTGACAGTCATGCTTATAATTGCCCCTGCAGGTGAAATGTAATTATAAGTAATTAATAATTACATTTGATATAGTAACTAGTATAACCAATACCATTAATGAAAGAAACAATAAATAAACAAAACAGCATACCTTACTTTATGAATTCAAAAATGTTAGTTCCAATCTTGAACAACAGATGCTGATGTATATTTCTTTAGAAACTTGTTCTCTGTCTAACACTGCACTTTACCAAAGAAACTTAGTATGGCACCCCCACTATATAATGTCCTAACTGTTACAATTAATGCCATATGTTTTTGTTAAATTCATGCTGGGTTTCCTGTGATAGTACTGTACTTCCAATATAATAATTTAGTTGTTTGCAAGAGCAAGCTGCTAAATTTGATGGTTACTCTAGATCTAGAACATTCATAAAATTAATTCTAAAATACTTAGAAAGCTTATAATGATGTAATACTCTCAAAATGTCGTGGAATTTGAAGAAATAAGCATACCTTTTAAATATGTGCAATGAAAGTGCTAAAATTCAATGAGAGTTCAGTGAAGTATTTTGTGAGTGATTAAGCTCAGTTCTTGTAGTGAGATTTATTGGGTTTATTAAATTGAATGGTCAACTAGCAAAGAAATTCTGCAAGTTTAAGTTATGCATACAATTAGATTTGGAATTTCAGTACACCGTTTGTGAACTTAAGCCTATAACATTTGTCAATGTGAATGTAGTCTTTCTGCAAACATTATAAAACAAATTAATTTGCTATCATTACATGGACTAAACTTGGCACTACTTTTACCAAATAATCTAAAAGAGCCCACTCAGTGATAGAATATGTTACAACAGAATGTATAAAATTGCTTTAAATATATTATGGCTTCAATCGCATCAAACACAAAGTAACATACAAATAAAAAAAAAATGTAAGAGGTTTGAGAAAAATGGACTTTCATAATAAGTTACTTTCTAGGTCATTTGGACAAATTTTCTATCACCAAATCATCAACCTTTAAAGCTCTAAAATGATATATTTACTTTGAGTTTTATGTAGATCTTCTTTATACACTTTCATTACATAATCATAAGCAGACTGACGGTTGTGAAGACTGGGTGGCACAGTACTTTGTTTGTCTAAAATGTTTCTGGTGCACATTCCATCATAATCATCTTTTTCTTCTTTTGTTTGTACATGAACATTAGTCCAAAGCTCTTTAATACCAGTTTTATTGTAATTACTGGCCATATTTTCATGTTGTATAACATTATGAAGATCTATACATTTATCTGCTGAAGGAATTTGTGAACAATCTTTTGTAGTTTCCTTATGCTTTGTTTTTGCAATGAAAGAGTCCATTTCTTCACATGTAACTAATCTTGTACTGCACTCATTTAGAATATTTTTTGGCATCTGTTTATTATTCAAATTCTCAGTTGAAAGGTTATTTTGTAATGTATCTTGTTCAAATAGCTCTTTAATGGATGTCTTCTGTGTACTTTTTACTTGTTTTAATGCAGATTCCAAAGTATGTGGTGTTGCATTTTGGGCATCCTTCAGATATTCTTTGGTATTTTCTGTGTTGCTTCTTCCGTACAAGCCTGCAGCTGTAAAATACTGATCTTCAATAAGGTTTACAGTAGCTTCATCATCATTTGATTTTTCTTCAGATAATTGTGGATTTTCAGATATGCTCTGAGTAAAACATGTTTGATCAATGAACCCCAAATCTTCATAAAGGTTGCTTTTAAAGTTAACTACTTTATCACAATTACCTTTTCCTTCATCGCATGAGAATTTTTCCCTACTAATTACATCTACTTCACTTTTTTGCTGGAACTCTATTTCCTTGCCTAGTAAATTAGTATTATTTGTTAAAAGTACTTCACTTTCACCTTCAGTTTTACATGTTTCTGATAAACTATACTCTTCATCTTGCTCATGGTAATGAGGCATGTTATCAATATCATACCGAACTCTCCCGTAAGTTGTTTCGATAACTTTATCATCACTTACTTTAGAATCTCGCTTTCTTAAAAGATATTCAAATTTTTCAATGCTTGCAGACTTGCATTTAAAATTTTCATCACGTGCCTTACCACATTTCACATCAATGTCACTTTCAATCCCGAAAAAATCATTAACAGAAACATTTTTGTTATGATCACATTCAGAAACAGATATATTATTCATCAAAGCAGAATTTTTACAACTTTTAGTATTTTCCACAAAGATACATTTCTTTCTCTTCTCAGTAGTAGTAGTAGGAGTAATAACAGAATTAGAAAAATTGTATTTATCTTCTTCGTTAACAATAACAGATAATTTCTCATTCTCATTATAACTCCTACGACGCAAAAATCGAACAGCAACAGGAAATATAACACGCATTGGACTTTTAAGTAAGACCAATGTATATTGCATCGGTGATTGTACATACTGTGAAAATAGACCGTGATTATTCAAATAACACCATTTCAATTTGGCTGCCATATTTAAAATCCTGCACGAATTTTTCCGGAACATCTTAACGAGAGTTACTAGACCTAAGTTTCGCGAATGAAGGCCCCCCAGTGGCTTACCGGTAAGTATGGGCTCATACCAATGAAAACCGGGTTTCCATTATTCATTGTGGGTGCAAAACAGATAGCTCATTCTGTAGCTTTGCGCTTAACAACAACCAAACAATTGCAAAAAACGTCTCACTTTTTGTTCACAAAATTTCATTGTGAATCTGTACTACGTATCAATAAAGGGAGTCTATCAAAAATGGTAATTGTTTTATTCCCATCCCAAAATGGAATGTGTGTATAAAACAACCTGTAGACAATACAAAACTGAAAAGTGCTCCAGATAGAATGTTTTGAATAAACAGTTGGAATATACTAGAGTTAATAAGCGTTGGGCCACTAATTTCAAAATGGATTTAAACAGAGAAGGAACCCCTTTCTTTTTTATCCAGGTGTGTGTATCCTGCAAAAGCCCAGTCTTTAATCATGGCAAAAGATGAAAGCGTACTTCACATAATACTGTTACGACAGCGGAAGTCACGTGACCCTAGTAACACGTCATGATATTCTCGAAGGTGCGTGAATGCTCGAGTG